ATAGGGCAATTCCCAAAAGTGGGTGATACCACCCTCTGCTGGGCACTGGAAGCTGATACCTATACTTTAGCCTGTTAGACCAAAGAAGTTTGGGAACCTATGCTTACAGGTATAGTAGAATTGCCTCATTAAGTTTCCAAGGCTATAGTCATTAAGATAGCAGATTGCCTCCCTCAGAGTAGCTGTTGGGTTTGAATCACTGACCTTTTCTTTAGCAGCGGAGACTTAACTGCTGTGCTTTCAGGGTTTCTAAATCCAAGGCTTTACTAATGACCTCATCATCTAGCATTTAGGACATGTACCATATTCCAGGCATTCTTTGGAGTCCTTGGGTGACCCAAACAGCCCACGCGCTACCATCTAGGGATACCACAGGAGAGAGGCCTGGCAGTCTGCGTCTAAGGGCACAGCCTTGAAAACCATCTGAAGCAGTTCTACTCCGCATACATGGTGTCCCCATAAATTGCAACCTAACAATAACAAGCACTTCTAAGTACTATATATATAAGTTCTTTGAATTTTCACAACAAGCCTATGTGGTGTAGGAATCATGCTGTATAGATGTGGGAACTAAGCACAGAAAGGTTATCTGACTTTTTCAAGGCCATTCATTTAATAACAGCCAGAATCTGGGCCCAAGCAGGCTGTCTTGAATTCCATGCTATTAACCAGTGTGCTATGTTGGGTATTCTAGTTGTGTATAATCGGTACCAAACATGAATCCAGAACTAAAGCTTAACATCTAAAGACAAGTTAGCCAATGAAAAGTTCCCACACAGGGAACCAATAGAAAAGCTCAGAGGGAAAACAGAAGACTCCATGGGTTGTGAAAATAATCATTAAATGAGCTAATAGTTGTGAAGTCATTCAACCCAGTGCACAGCATAGTAAACACTCAACGATTAACTCCTGCTTTTATGCCAAAGATCATTTCTTACTCAGTTATAATGAAGCCATTATTTTTTAGGTGTGTAGCCCCGTTTCCCCGCTCTGTTAAATAGCCCTTAATACCATAGCCCTCTGATTCTGTATCTCTAAAGAGTTTTTGTTACAACCTCTATTTAAGGCTTTCTGGTTTTTTTTTTGTTTTTTTGTTTTTTTTTCTTTTTTTTAAATTGTTTTATTGATATAAATTCACATACATACTTCCATAGGTGTATATACATCATTACAATCAGTTCCAGTGTTGGCTTTCCGTTTTGCAGTACATCCTCTCACTGCTGTTATCCTTATTCCTATCCACATGCCCATGCCCATCAGCACACATGTGCCTGAAGTCGCACGCTCCCATCTGCCCGTTCCACTTCGCTACATAGCCAGTCTGCTAGGATGGAGAAGAACACTACTAGATTGCCAAGTTTGTTGAGATTTCCGGCTCTAAATGAGGGACTAAAGTTCACACTGGCAAATTTTTGGAACAGCCACTTCTATCTATATTAACTTTCTGGAGCTTGTAGCAATAAGTCTGAACTCTAGGAAAATAAGCAAATAAAAATAAAAATTTTGTTTCTGCCTAGGCAAAAAAATCATCCAAAGTAAATAGCAGGGAGTGAGTTCTTATTTGGCTTTTTTAATATTTACTTTGCAGTATTTTTTAAAAGTTTAATTACAATTTTAGTTTCGGAACAGCTATTTCTGACATCCATCTTAGAGTAAATGGAATCCATTTAAATCTTTAGTTAGATAGTATGTAACTGACAGTTACAAAGATATAAAAACCTATTTTGAAATAAATACTATTTTTTATAATTCTGAGAAATACCCCAATCTTATAAGAGTGAAGGGG